GCTGTTTTGAATCTGTTACTAGTTCACCTTGACGACCCATGATTTCTGTGCTAAATCTGCTTAAAGTATGCACATGACATGGTAGCGGTGGGTCTTATCCGGGACGATAGCAAAGATTCTTATAGGGAAGAGGTGAAAAGCTTTGGTGGACTAGTGCAATAAAAATAACCTGGTTTTGAATGTTAATAAAACAAAGGAGATCATTGTTGATTTTAGAAAGAGCCGACATACTCCACTTTGTATCAAGGCTGCAGCTGTGGAAGTGGTCAATAGTATTAAGTACCTAGGGATGCAGATAACTAACAATCTGATTTGGTCTCTTCATAAGTTATCCTTAGTGAAGTATGCAAAGCAGCATTTGCATTTCTTGCGTCGGATAAGGAGACCATATCTTTTTCCTTCTGTCCTGGCCACTTTTTACAGAGGCATGATTGAGAGTGTTTTAACAAACTATTTGGTTTGGTGGTAGCAGTGCCTCAGATAGAAGGTCCATATAGAGAGTAGTAAAGACAGCTGAGAAGATTATAGGAAGCTCGCTTCCTGTTATTCAGAATACTGCTTAAAAGCGCTATGTGCTTAGAACTTGAAGCATTGTCAGAGACCCCACACACCCACTTCACAGCCTGTTTTTGTTGCTCCTCTCTGGGAGGAGGTTTCAAAGTATTTATAGCTAAACTACTAGATTCTGTAACAGCTTTGTTCCTTATGCAATCCTCTCTTATAAATTTGCAAGAATTCTTTTTTTCACCATGTATATACATGGTGTTTCTCTGTGTCATATATACATATATCACACACACACACACACACACACACATATATGTATGTATGTATGTATGTATGTATCTTTATATATATACATAAACCTATATACATATGTTTCTCTGTGTCATATGTGTATGTGTGTGTGTGGGTATATGCATAATGGTATCTTGTATTTCTTTTTAATAAATGCTAATTAGGATACATTTAAAGTGACAAGATTCTCTTCTCTTCTATATATGTCTGAAGTAGCATATTATAATGTAAAGCAGTGGTTCTCAACCTGTGGGTCGCGACCCCATTTGGGGTCGAACCACCATTTCACGGGGGTCGCCAAATGCGAGCCGCCATTTTTTTTCTCAGCCGGCATGCGTGCCGCACAGGGGACGGCGCTGCGCATGCATGCCGTGCAGGGGGCGCCGCCGCGCATGCGCGCCGCCTGCTTATGACTGGGGTCGCCGGTCTAAAAAGATTGAGAACCACTGATGTAAAGTGAGGGAAAAATTTATTTGATCCTTTGCTGATTTTGTACGTTTGCCCACTGACAAAGAAATGATCATTCTATAATTTTAATGGTAGGTTTATTTTAACAGTGAGAGACAGAATAACAACAAAAAATCCAGAAAAACACATTTCAAAAAAGTTATAAATTGATTTGCATTTTAATGAGTGAAATAAGTATTTGATCCCCTGTTGATTAGCAAGATTTCTGGCTCCCAGGTGTCTTTTATTCAGGTAACAAGCTGAGATTAAGAGCAGTCTCTTAAAGGGAGTGCTCCTAATCTCAGCTGTTATCTGTATAAAAGACATCTGTCCACAGAAGCAATTAATCAGATTCCAAACTCTCCACCATGGCCAAGATCAAAGAGTCTGTCCAAGGATGTCAGGGATAAGACTGTAGACCTACACCAGGGGTCGGCAACCTAAAAAGGTGAAAAAGCCACTTGGACCCATTTCCCTCACAAAAAAAATCTGGGAACCCCAAAATGTGCGCATGCGCGTGCGCATGCATGCACACTCATGTAACGGAGGCGACACATGCACCAGCCCTGCCTGCGTCCAGCTCTGGTATGGACGGCTCTGCTGTCCTGGCTTCTCCTCCCCTCGGAAAAGACTGCTCTCTCCCCTTTGCTGAAGCAGCGAGCGGGGGGGGCTCGCCTTGGACACGGCAGGGCTGCTGGAGGTTGAGGCCCCCAAAGGCACGGACCAAGATATCTTCCATAGCAGCGGGAAGGCGACCACGGGAGCAACAGCCTGCTCATCTCCCCCGGCGGTAACTGCGCAGCCATCTGGTGGTGTTTACATGGCCTTCCACATGACTGAGATAGGCAGCGCTGTCCTGCTCTGCCCCGCCCTAATTTCCCCAGAGCAGAATTGGGGCTACGCCAAAGGAGCCAGCTGAAAGTGGTGCCTTGGACTACCCCTTCGAGGATGGCACTTTGGAGGAAGGCCAGAGTGCGACACCCTTGCCAGAGAACTAGTCAGCCCCACTAACTAACATGTGAACCCCACGCTAAGAACGGCCCTGCCTAAACTAAGCTCAATCGGACAGGAAAGTTCCAATCTGATGGAGGCTCCTGCAAAGTCAGCTCAGTCATTGGGATCACGCAGTTCAGTGGGCTTCCCCACCCCAAGATATTAATTCAGAACCAGGCAGCACTTGGCTTGCAATCAGTTGCACAAAACAGGTGGATAGGATTGCAGCCAATGATAGTAGGACGTTAGAGCCACCAACTCTGGTCTCCACCCGGCCCTCTTTCCCTTGCTGCAGGAGAAGGGAAGGCACAAGCTCTCTGCCTGGGTGGGCAGGCGAGAAAAACTCCAAAACAGGAGGGAATCCTCTTCGGTTTTCTCGGCTTGCAAACTCGGCTCCTGCCAGGGAAGCAGCACCTTTTGGGATGGGCTCTGAGCAATTGCATGCTTCGGGCCTGGCAGGAGCCAAGTTTGCAAGCCTCGTTGGCAAGCCAAGAAAACCGAAGGTCCGGAGGATTCCCTCCTGCTTTTGGGGTTTTTCTCGCCTGCTCGTCTGGGTAGAGAGCCCGCACCTTCCCTTCTCCTGCAGCCGGGGAAAGAGGGCCGGCCCCAAGTCTGTCCTGGAGGACTTTTTAGGCCCCGGATACCCTACCCCTTCCCCCTGGTCGTTGGGGTGCGGAACCACCAAGCCTTACTCACCGGCAACGCTGAAGCTTTCCACACCGATCGATAGGTCTTCCATGCCACTCCGCTCGGGCCGCCGGCTTCTTGCTACAGGGCTGTCTCCCTCCAGAGCTGTCTTCCCCCCCTCCCATCTATGTCGAGCCCATGGCGAACAGCATCCCAGAAACCAAATAAGTTGAACCAATCAATTCAAACTTCTTTCGTGAGAAGTTTGAATTGATTGGTTCAACTTATTTAGTCCTATTTTGGGGGGGGCACTGCACATGGCTGGGAGCCGCAGGAGACGGCTGAAAGAGCCGCATGCGGCTCCGGAGCCGTGGGTTGCCGACCCATGGCCTACACAAGGCTGGAATGGGCTACAAGACTATCACTAAGCAGCTTGGTGAAAAGGTAACAACAGTTGGTGTGATTATTTGCAAATGGGAAAAACACAAAATAACTGTCAATCTGCCTCCATGTAAGATCTCACCTTGTGGAGTTTCAATGATCATGAGAATAGTGAGGAATCAGCCCAGACCTACACGGGATGATCTTGTCAATGGTCTTAAGGCAGCTGGGGCCATAGTAACCAAGAAAACAATTGGTAACACACTATGCTGTGAAGGACTGAAATCCTGCAATGCCTGCAAGATCTCCCTGCTCAAGAAAGCACATGTGAGGGCCTGTCTGAAGTTTGCCAATGAATATCTGAATGATTCAGAGAATTGGGTGAAAGTGTTGTGGTCAGATGAGACCAAAATTGATCTCTTTGGCTTCAACTCAACTCACTGTGTTTGGAGAAGGAGGAATGTTGCCTATGTCCCCAAGAACCCCATCCCCACTATCAACATGGAGGTGGAAACATGTTTTGGGGGTGTTTTTCTGCTAAGGGGACAGGACAATTTCACTGCATCAAAGGGATGATGGATGGGGCCATGTACTGTCAAATCTTGGGTGAGAACCTCCTTCCCTCAGCCAGGGCATTGAAAATGGGTCGTAGATGGGTATTCCAGCATGGCAATGACCCAAAACATATGGCCAAGGCAACAAAAGAGCGGCTCAGGAAGAAGCACATTAAGGTCCTGGAGTGACCTAGCCAGTCTCCAGACCTTAATCTGTGGAGGGAGCTGAAGGTTCAAGCTGCCAAACGTCAGCCTCGAAACCTTAATGACTTGGAGAAGATCTGCAAAGAGGAGTGGGACAAAATCCCTCCTGAGATGTGTGCAAACCTGACTGGCAACAAGTGTTTTGCCACCAAATACTAAATCATATTTTGCAAAGGGAGCAAATATTTATTTCACTCATTAAAATGCAAATCAATTTATAACTTTTTTGAAATATGTTTTTCTGGATTTTTTTGTCATTATTCTATCTCTCACTGTTAAAATAAACCTACCATTAAAATTATAGACTGATCATTTCTTTGTCAGTGGGCAAATGTACAAAATCAGCAGAGGATCAAATAACTTTTTCCCTCACTGTACATAATATGCTACTTCAGACGACATTATTTATCAAGTAGGCAGTTATATATTAGAAATGTTTTTGATGTATTTAATTTTCAAAAGTGCTTACTAAAATTTAATTTTGTTCTTTGTATTTCCTGTTTATTTTTTCTAAAAATACATCAGATTACTTATTTTTTATACAAAGATGAGTAGCGAGAACAATTAACCAGTGGAATGGTTTGCCTTCAGAGTTTATGAGTGCTCCATCATTGGAGGCTTTTAAGAAGAGACTGGACAGCCATTTGTCTGAAATGGTATAGGATTTCCTGCTTGAACAGGGGTTGAACTAAAAGACCTCCAACATCCCTTTCAACTCTGCTGTTCTGTTAAGATTACAAGAATGTAGTTGCTACTGTGACTTAATGTGTCAGCACACAACTTTTTATCACAAAATATAGGTTTTAATTTCTAACAACAAAATTCAACAAATATCCAGATTAATGTCTTTTACAGGAAGCTAAAGTGTTGATTTATAAAGATGAAAAAACTAGCCTATGAATATACAACTGAGGAGAATGTGCACTGGTTTCCCATATTTTAAATGTTTCCTTTTGGATATAGCCTGCAATATATAAGTTTCATTCAAACATCTGATAAGTTGTAATATAGTGATACTTTACTGTGATTAAGCAATAACTGAACAGGCATCTTGTAACTTTAGAATTGATTTTATCTTGTGGTAATTGTTAAAAATAAATTTCACAAGAAGTATGAATGTATGTAATCATTTGTTAAAATAAAGCAGAGACACTATTTCCATCTAAAATTTGTTTTGCATAGAAATAGAAAGTATAGGACCAGCATAGAGATCAGTTCATATATTGCTATGTATTTGGTCATGTGCTTTTATGTCCATATCACCTTCTTTCCATTAAGAAATCACATGGAATTAGAACAAACATTGATTGATTTGAGAAAGTTTAACACTTTGTTTTCATGTAGAGAAAAAAGTATTAAGAACATGAGTCACAAAAAATGTTTGTCTTAGATCAAAACTGTTAAACTAATAAAATTTCACATCAAAAAGTGCAGTGTTCAGATTTGCTTTATAATACAAAAATCTCATACTGTAATGTTTTGCCATGTCAAACCAACTTTGTTCCAGATGCTGCACTGCTCCCAATTTTTCCATAATTTTAACTGACTTTTTCTTAAATCTGAAAAATATTCTACTTAAAGTTCATCTTTTGTTCTGCTTAATTTGGTGGCATGTTCTTCAACAAATTTACTCAAGCTCTCCAAATCTTTTTTCCCAATTTCAAATTTAATTGGATTATTCTTCTTGTTGCTGGGAGCAAAATAGATGGTGGGGAAACCTTCTATTTTATAACTGTCATTTGTGACATCATTAGCAGTTGCATCCATTTTAGCAATTATTATTTTTTTCTGATTTTTGTATTTTTTACCCAATTCCATATAAATGGGCTCTAGGTTCTTGCAATGCCCACACCAGGGAGCGTAGAACTCTATAAGAACATCTGAATTTGGATCCATTACTATAGATTCAAAAGTTTTACCAACTACAATCTTCACTGGACCTTTGTTATTTTTTGGTATTGGCTGGGATTTCACAATGGGCTTTAGTTTACCTACAAAGGAAATAGAGAAGTATTGTTATACCAACATCACACTCATGATATTCCCACTTGCAAAATTACAATCCCAACATAAGCTAATCCATGCTAGAATTTTTACTGGTTCTTTAAATCAAACACAAAACACTTTTTCCTGATCATCAGAGCAAACAGTTAGGCCTTGACTCATGACCAAGACGCTTAGCAATCATTCAAAATTATGACAAAATTCCCCAATAGCTATTACAATCAAGTTTCAAAGTTATGACCACTGCAGTGTGTCTCCACTAACTATTTCTCCCCATATCCTGCCCTGCTGGATCCCAGCAGGTATTCAGCCTGCTTTGCCACTCATCTATTCCACACGGTCCTCTCTACCCACCGCCACCAATCACTCACTTAGTTTTATCTCCTTCTGGAAATGTCACAGATTACATTGGGGAAAAATAGCAAACTGGTCCTTTTCCTAGGCCAGGTGGCCTGCTCCAGGAAATAAGGTCCATTTTTAAAGTAGCCTACAAACACTATCTAGCAACACAGCCTAGATTGCCAAGCGACAGAAAAGTCTGCTGATATTCCACAGTGCCTTTCTTTCTAGCCCAGGTACTCCAGAAGCTGTGAGGGAAATAAACCTGGGAGAGCTTTGTTGTACCTTCATTTCCCCTCTTGCAGCTTCTTGCCTTCCTTTTGAGCCTGGGCACGCAGAAGCTGGAGGGAAAACAAAGATTGGAACCCTTTGTCCCATCTTTGTTTCCTCTGCACCTTCTAGTGTGCAAGTACCCAACTGTATACATAAAACCAAGACCATTTACCTTTTTTGAATGACAAAACAAATTCTCTAAGTACATCAGAATCAAATTCTTCCGGTTCCATGGCATATTTTTTACCAGCTTCATCAAATATGGCAACATTAACATCTTCTCCACTGTCAATCAATCCCAAATCTTTTATTTCTGAAGAATAGTTTTCTTCATCAGCAATTGCAAAAGTGTATTCCGGAAAGTCCTTAGCCACCTCTAAAACTTTATTTCGCCAATACTGAGTAGCTGGAATTACCAAACAGATCATTTATAGGTTAGTAGATGATATTATACTAGATCTTTAAGAAAATTATTTTATAGTTATACCTACCAACATGATAGTCAAAGCTGAAGTCTACCATATAATAAACAACTACTAAGGGCTTCTTAGCATATCTCTTAGCATCATTAGCAGTCTTGCGATGACCAACAAGAGGCAGGGCATGTTTCACCACATGGTTTTTCACTTCTGCAACATCAGTAGATTCCTGTTTATACCAACAAAAATTCTTACTTCATTACTGTGTTATGAAGCTTACAGGAGGCTTCATTATGGAGAATATTCATACACAAATCCTAACAGAGAACTGAAGAACTTTATATTTTATGTGGGTTATTGAGATGTATTCATTCACAAAAGCTGAATGAAAAGAATAATTCAATAAATAATTAACCCCAAAGTTCCCTCCTTTCAACCCATAGAAATCTTTCCTTGACACTGGATTGCTATACAATACTAAGCCTTTAAAAATATCTATTGTTATCTATAAATCTTTTAACAATCTTTTTTTTTTGTAGAAAGTGCAACTGGAAAGAGATTACACCCCATCCCATACAAATATAGAGTTAAACTCAGTCAGAAGTGTAAAAAAGCTACTGAAAATAAGTAGGCTTTCACCTTTTTCTGAAAACATATTAAGTTTAATTAAAATTCATGCCAAAATTGAGGATTAGAAGCCACAAAACATTTTATGTGTACAGACCACATTAAATATTCTGGGTTTCATGATTTGTGAACTTTTGAGTATGTTTATATGCATGCACGCATACCAGAGTACAACTTCATTTACATTTATGATTACAGTTATGAAATCCCATTAGATATTTGCATCCAGCTTCACAAGTTCAAACACAAGAAAGACCAACATGAAATAGCAAACCTGTGTTATTTGCAGACTGGATCAGCTAAAAGAAGTACTTCTATAGTTCTAAAAAGTAGTTTAGAACAAATCACAAATCAGGGTATAAAAAAAAATTCTGAAAGGAATAAGGCAGGTCTGGTTCTAATATGGACTTGTCATAGCTACTCACTTTTATATCCAAAATATGTACTGACGCCTCATATTTTGATTGAAATTTTTCTGGCTGCATGATCACCAGTTTCCCAGGATCTACTTTCAGAAAGTTTGATATTTCACTACTAAAAGTATGGTAGAATTTGTAATCTTCTCTCAAGCTGTTAGCTGAAAGAGAAAATCCAAAGCATTAGGGAAAAATTCTGCAAAAAAATTAGGAGATCCTGGAGTTTGAAAAATCTGAATATTTTTCACATTATTGTTTTTTTCCCAGGGTTTATTAAAAGATTGACAATACCCAGAAAGATTATAATAAAACCTTTTTCTATATTTATCCTGTTTTAGTTTTTGTTCTACATCAGATTGACGACTGGAGGTCTGAAGTTCCACCTTATGACACCATCAAAGTTTTAATTAGGATAATTAAAATTATTAATTAAAATATTAATAAATAAAATTTAATTAAAATTTAAAATAATTAAAGATAATTGATCTGATGGTTAAGGTACTAAGCTAGAAACCAGGACACTGCAAATTCCAGTCCCACTTTAGGCTTGAAAACCAGTTGGATGGCCTCTTTTAGCTTATCCCATCTCATAGGATTGCTGTTGTGGGCAAATAGGAGGACTGCAAAATTCAGATGCTTGGCAATTGGTTCGTATTTATGACTTTTGTTGTGTCCCAAGATCATGTGATCACCTTTTGTGACCTTCTGACAAGCAAAGTCAACGGGAAAGCCAGATTCGCTTAACCATCGGGTTACTAACTTATCAACTGCAGTGATTTTCTTAACAACAGAAGGAAGGTCATAAAATGGGGCAAAATTCATTTAACAAATGTCTCACTTAACAGAAATTTTAGGCTCAATTGTGGTCATAAGTTGAGAAATAATTGTATTATGTTTTCCACTGAAAAAGACAGGAAAATTATGTCACTCTATTTTAATAAAGCAGCAACAGGAGGTTGAAGTCACAGTCCTATGAGAATTAATGTGGCACTGCAATTACAAAAGATGAAAACTGCATGGTATTATTTAATTTTTGCATTTACAGTTTGAAGAATATTTTTCTATCACTCTGCATTAACAGAAACCTTTACAAAGTAATTTCTATGTGCTAACACTGAACAATATTTGCAACTTCATAATAAAAGAAAAATGTACCTGCATCCTGATAGAGATAAAAAGCTGGGTCCTGGCTTTCCTTAAAAACACCAATAATAATAACATCATCTCCATCTTTCATAAATTCTTGTACTTGTTTAATGGCCTGTATTTGTTTGGATGGAGGGCCAGCCTGTTCTATCATGTAATCAACAATCCCTGAAAACAAAAATAGTATCTTATTATTGTCTAGAACAGTGGTTCTCAACCTTTTTAATGCCGCGACCCCCAACCGGTCGTAAGTCGAGGACTACTCAACTGGTGCAGCACCGTTCGCAGAATGGGACTTTTGGCGGGCTCAGCAGGGCAGACAATTCCTATTGGCTTTTGAAAGCCAATAGAATTAGACTCTATTCAAGAGAGTCTATTCTATTGGCTTTCAAAAGCCAATAGAATAAAAGGGAGTAGCACAGCTAAGGAAAAGGGAAAAAAAATGGCGGACTGCGTTGTTTGGCGACCCCCGTGAAATGGTCGTTCGACCCCAAATGGGGTCCCGACCCACAGGTTGAGAACCACTGGTCTAGAAAAGCATCCATTTAGTATATTATAATTGGAAAAACAAAGTTTACCATACCATACTTTTCTCTTGGCCCACTATAGTTAAAAGATTTGCCCTTGCGGAAGATCTTGAGAGAAGGGTATCCAGACACATCAAATCTCTTTGCAAGTTCTGTTTCAGCAATAGCATCAACTTTTGCTAGAGGGATTGGAGGAATACGCTTGCTAAGCTCCTTAGCTGCTTTCTCATATTCTGGAGCTAATCTTTTGCAATGCCCACACCTGTATCAGAACAAAGGCAGAAAGATTAAAGAAAAAAATTCTGTTAAAAAAATTCCCAAAAGCTTTTTGTGAATTTTTTAAGCACAATGAAAAGAAAAAAGCATTTTAGGTGAAAGATAAGAAGTGTTGGCTTTCCTGAATGCCTTTTCTCAGCATGATGATGAAGAATCCACCAATGGGTTATTTCAGTCCTCCTGCCCAATCAGACCAAGTTGTCAAGTTGTCACGCCCCCTCATTATCTGGGGTCCATCCAGTTTTCATCGACGGACGAAACCATTGACAACATTCCGACGTGATGACTCTCAGCAGGTAATAAAAGATCTAAACGAACAATATCCCACCTGGACCTGACTGACCTCTAATAAGGGAAGGTGTGGATTCTTTATCATCATGCTGAGAAAAGGCGTTCAGGTAAGCCAACACTTCTTCTCCAGCACAATGACTGAAGAATCCACCAATGGGATGTACCAAAGCTTTTCTAGTCCCTAAGGGTGGGAGTCATTAGGGGCCAGGTCCCCAGATGGTGTGACTACTTGTTGTAATACATGTCTACCAAAAGCGGCCTCAGCTGAAGCAAATTTGTCTAGACGGTAATGCCTAACGAACAGTGATGGCGATGACCATGTTGCCACCCTGCAAATGTCCTCAATGGATGCCTGAGTTGCCCACGCTGTGGTCGTGGCAGCACTGCGAGTAGAGTGTGCCATCACATGAGGGACTGGCAAGGCAATAGAGACATAAGCACTTGAAATGCAAGCCCTAATCCACCTCCCTATGGTGGAAGCTGATACCTTTTGTCCCACTGACGAAGGTTGAAAGGACACAAATAAGGTGTCAAACTAGGTCCTTTGTCATCCGGAATGAAGAAACAAGGAACGCAGGAACTTAGTGCAAGTTAGAAAGTTTATTCACTGCCTAACAAATAAAGTCAGCACTGGGAGTGGCCTGCTCCCAGTGCTCTTTATAATAAGACCACGCCCAAAACCCCACCAACCACCCACAAACCAACATCCACCTAATCACCCTTATAAAGCCTCCCTTGTGACCCAATCCCTCTTCCCAGGCGGCCACAGCATGTCCGCCTGCCGCTGCCCCACGTCCTGGCTCCTCCAGCCCTGGTGAGTATGGCCGTTCTGTGCAGCCCTCAATGGAGAACTCCTCCTGCTCTCCCCCTCCGCTGAGTTGCTGGGTCCTGCTGAGCCAGTTTCCACTCTCCAGCTGGCTGGCGGAGCGTACGGTGCCGGCTCCTGCGGTGGTCGGCAAGAGGGTAAGTCCATGTGCTGTTCGTTCGGCCGCCAGCCAGTCCCCGCTGCTCAGCTGGCTGGCGGAGCATTTGGCGCTGGCTCCTGCGGCTCCTACGGTAGCCGGCAGGGAGGTAGGACGTTGGGGCTTGGTTTTGGTGGGCGTGTGTGGCTTGGTGCTCGGCTGCCTGGCTGCTTGGGACGGCGGTGGTGAGTCACTCTTTCCGTTCCCCCCGCCGCCGAATGGCAAGCCCCGTGGGGCTTGACATAGGGCTTCCAACTTGCGAAAGGGCTTTGTTCGCTTGATATAACAATGTAAGGCTCTCCTTACATCCAGAGTATGCCAGCATTGTTCCAAATCATGTGACAGATGAGGGCAGAAGTTTGGAAGGATTACCTCCTGCGCCCTATGGAAAATCATGTTAACTTTTGGGATGAATGAAGGGTCTAACCTGAGAATTACCCTGTCCTCATGAAACGTGCAAAGGTCCTTCTTAACCAACAAGGTAGCTAACTCCGAAATGCGCCTGGCCGAGGTAATGGCAACCAAAAAAAGAGACCTTGAGCGACAAGTATAGAAGTGAGCACATTTTGAGTGGTTCAAAGGGAGATAATGTTAGTGCCCGAAGTACTCGAGGTAAATCCCAAGAGGGATACCTATGAATTACAGGCGGTCTGGTATTTGTGACCCCCTTAAGGAAGGCCCGGATGGCTGGGTGTCTTGATAAGGAACCCGAGGAGTCCCATGACAGGATCGAGAACAGAGCTGCTGTCTGCGTAAGGTGTTGGGTGCCAACCCCTTGTTGACACCCTCCATTAAATATTCCAATACCCTAGGAATTGTCACCTGTGATAGACTTACGTGCTTCTTGTTGCACCAATGACAGAAATTCTTCCACGTGTGATCATAGATATGGTTCGTTGCCGGTCTCCTGGCCGCCTGTATCATATCAATCACGTCTGCCAAGTAAGATTCCCTGGTTAGGGTGCGGCGCTCAAGTGCCAGGCGGTCAACTGAAGCCATTGGGGGTCTGGATGTTGAAGATCCCCCCTGTATCAGCCATATTTGGGTGTCAGGAATCCTCCACGGAGCTGAGAATGAAAGACTCACCAGATCTGCGAACCATGGCCTCCTGGGCCAATAAGGGGCGATGAAGATCACTTCCACCCTCTCCTCCAAGATCTTCCTGACTACTGCAGGAAGTAACGGCAATGGGGGGAAGGCATACAAGAGATCTTGTGGCCACCTGCTGCGAAGCGCATCCGTCCCTTCTGCTCCCTGGGAGGGAAACCGAGAGAGGAACCTGGGCAGCTAAGTATTCTCCGGGGAGGCAAACAGGTCCACAATCAGATGGCCAAATTTGACTGGTATCTCCCTGAAGATATCTGGATGTAACATCCACTCCGAATGATCTATTGTCAATCTGCTGAGGAAGTCTGCCTGTCGATTTGCCTCCCCCGAGATGTGCTCGGCTCTGATGGAGAGTAGGTGTTTCTCTGCCCAAGAGCAACACGCTCGGGCCTCCATCATGAGAGATTTGGACCGAGTGCCCCCTTGCCGATTCACGTGGGCTTTTGCGGCCACGTTGTCGGTCCGAATCAGTACATGCTGACCCTTGACTGCTGTGCGAAATTGTTGGAGAGCTAGATGTATTGCTCTGAGCTCTAACCAGTTTATATTGTGTTTGAGGTCTGTTTTCGACCATTGACCTTGAGCTATCTGGGATTGGAGATGAGCCCCCCAACCAAAGAGGCTCGCATCCGTAGTCACCAGGATCCGACTGGGCTCCTTGAACAGGGTCCGCTTGTGAACGGCTGATGAAGTCCACCAGCCAAGTGATAAACGTACCTGATGAGGAATCCGAACTAGTCTGTTGGATGTACTGGTACGCTGTCTCTGGTACAGAAGTAGGAACCATTGTAGATCCTGGGTATGTACCCAGGACCACGGCATGATCGCTATACATGATATCAGTTTCCCTAGGAATTGAGAAAGTGTGGCCAATGCCAGAGCCCTTTCCCTGCACACCTTGCGAGCCAGATCCCTGATGCTCCTGTGCCTCTCCTCTGACAGGTATACGTGACACGATTCAGTGTCTATTACCGCTCCCAGATGAAGCAGGCGGGTAGAGGGATTCATCTGGCTCTTCTTGAAATTTATCAGAAATCCGTGGTTCTGAAGGGTCCTTATGGTGAGGGCCAGGTCCGAATGGGCGGCTGAGGTTGACTGGGACTGGATCAGTATGTCGTCCAGATAACACTGGACCTGTACGGGGTTCAGTCTCAAGTGAGCCACCAACACTGCCAGGATTTTGGTAAAGACCCTGGAGGCTGAGGAAAGGCCGAAAGTAAGAGCCCTGTACTGGAAGTGGCAGTTGAGATAACAAAATCTCAGGTATCTGCGATGATCTGGGAGGATAGGGATGTGTAAATACGCCTCCTTCAGATCTATTGAGGTCAACAGATCCCCCCGCCTGATGCTGGCTAAGATAGAGTGCAGTGTTTGCATTTTGAACTCTTGTAGTGAAGGTGGAGGTTCAATCCCTTGAGATCGAGGATCATTCTCCATCCCCCTGTAGACTTTGGGACCACAAACAGGATGGAGTAGTATCCTTGCTTCACCTGACTTGGGGGAACCTCCTCTATTGCCCTGATGGAGATGAGATGTTGGATGGCATCTTCCATGAGACCCCTTTTTACTGGGTTTCTCATGGCTGGACAGGATACAAAGTGATTTAATGGGATGGATTTGAATTCCAGGGACAGACCTTCTCTGATCGTCTGCAGAACCCAGGAATCGGAGGTCGTGCTTTCCCACTGGCGTATGAAGTAAGTTAGTCTGTCGCCAATGGGAAGAACTTCCTCTGAGTCATTTGCCTCGGCGGAAGGGGCGACTTCCTCTGCCACAAAATGAATGCTTGGCTTGTAACTGGTACCTAGTTCTGTCCCTATAACATGTCCTGTCAAAGGGGCGCTCTGATTTAGGGGCAGGTGCCTGGTATGGTTGCGCAGACTCTGCTGTTGTCCCTGCCCGAAAGGACTGTCGGTGACTGTAAGGAATATACCGTCTGGTGGACCTCTTTGCCACATGATTACCTTTTGTTTTTGTTTGTTCTCGACCAAATAAGGCGTTAAGGCCTCCCCAAACAGCTTGCTGCCCTTAAAGGGGGCTGTGGCCACATGCCACACTTGTGCTTACTTTCAGCTCTCCAGTTTTTCAACCACAAAAATCTCCTAGCAACTACACTGGAGGCCACTGATCGGGCCGAATGTTTGGCCGAATACAGGGAAACATCAGCCATGTATTCGGATGTAACCAGTAATTTAGTTAAGTCCTGATGAACCCTAGTCTCCTCCAGCGAAATTCTATCCTGCAACTGACGCAGCCAGGTAATCGATATCCTTGCGAAGAAGGAAGTTGCTGTCGCTGCCTTGACTGCCCAGGCAGATGCCAAGTGCGCTTTGCGTAAGGCCATGTCAGATTTCTTATCCTCTGCCTTAAGGGCATAAGATACATCCGCGGGGAGACTGGCAGTTGAATATAAAGGTGCTAGAGATTCATCCACCTTCGGGACCTCTAAAAGGTCTACTAATGCATTAGACATGTCTACTATTTTGCACTCAGTCGCCCCTTGAAACGGCTGAGCAGCTGGTGACTCCCACTGTTCCTGAACATTTTGGAGAAATAATTGGGGACAGGGAATATGAAGGTGTGTGTCTATTGGTACAACAAACAAGGAATTAGTCTCCTGATCAGAGGGGGGCAGATCGGTTGGACCAGATGGGAAGAAAATTTACTTGCCTCGCATGCTCTGTGCAACAAGGCAGGAAAGAGCGAAGCATTGAACAGTTCTGCCATAGGTTGGGATTCAAAGGTAGGCTCCTTGCAATCCGACCAACCATCCTTGCCTCCCACATAATCCGAAACATCGGAATCAGAATCAGGAGAATGGGATGGGGAAACCATACCTGACCGTTCCAGTAAAGGCCGCCTGGCGGTTGTTGGAGCAGACGAAGAGGAAGGCCCCGGAGGGGGAGACGCCTGATGTTGGCCCTTTGATGCCATGGCTTGGCCCACAGCCTGAGCTACCCATAATTGGAGCTAGTTGGAGACGGACTGCTCTAGCGGAAGCCTTAACCCCGCAGCAGGCGGTGTCATGACAGCAGCGGGAGCTGTTGACGTACCTGGCAAATTAAGGTCCTACCCAAATAAAGGTGGACCTACTTATCAATGGTCCGGGTCGGAACCTGCTGATACACCGTCTCCTGCGACCATGCTGTGGATGTAGACGAATGAGGCGCTCCCGTATCCGGTAGTGTAGAGGTCGATAGTAAGAGAACTTTCTCAGCAGACAGCGTTGGGCCTGGGAGAATTGCTTCTCCAGGACTGTGTGTGCATTCGGCCAGTCTGTCACTTGCCACGCCAACCCTCCTGCTGTGCTTAGATTTAGATTTGGCCTTACCTAAAGGTGGCTCGGGTGCTGGCTTGGCTGGGGCGGGAGTGATGTCCGTGTCCAAGGGACGTGGCTCAGCTGGTTCTGCTATTTTCATCGAAATACAATCCAAAGTTGCCTTTGGTTTGACTCGGTCTGCAGGGGATCACGTGGATTGGCGTGATTCTGCTCACTGGCCACCAGAACTCACGCTCAGCGCCGAAGCACTCCTCCGTCCACAATGGTAGGCGATGAATCACACGTGTCCTACAATAGTGGCGATGGTCAGGATGCTGGAGCAGCCACTAGATGCAGAGGGGCAGAACAATCGCTACAACGACCAGGCCTGAAGAGAACTGCTGCTGATTCCACACTTGTGCTCCCAGGTGTCTAGATTTCTGAAACTAGGACTCAGTGTAAGAAGGGAATCAATAAAGATTAGTACACTAAGTGAAACACATGCAATTGGCTGCTTTAGGTTTTTTTTTTTAAACAAAATGGAGATAGATGTTGGGGGGGAGGGTAGGGAAGCTGATGAAACCCTCCGTCACAATTCAACAAACCCCCAAAAGGAACGACTGTGGGGCTATTGGAGGTGGTTTTTTTTAATGGTCCGGGGAACGCTGTTTAGAATCGCGCCTAACAGCTGTTAGGCGTGAAAAAAATCCTTCCACACCGCAAGGCTCCGATCCCTTCTGCGGCGGCTACAAGCACTCTTAAGCTGTGCAAATCCAAAATGGCGGCCGCTATGGGGATTCCTGACTGAGCCCGGTCAGGAAGAAGCCACGAGGCTTTAAAAATGGCGACTGCTCAGGGTGTTGCTGGAGGTTACTGGTGACCTCCTTGCAAGCCCCTGCCAAGGGATTTAAACCTCTCCCCACTTCTAAAGTTAAATGATTCAGCAGAATGCTGCCTCCAGGGAAAGGGAAGACCACCACCCCCCTCCTAGAAAGGTTAACTCTCCCCACTTCTAAAGTTAAATGATTCAGCAGAATGCTGCCTCCAGGGAAGGGGAAGATCACCCCTCACGTCCTAGAAAAAGTTCAATCCTAACTCCGAGGGGAGAGAAAGACAGAGGAAATACTCAGAAAAGAAATTAAAGTCCACTAACTCCGCTATTTTCTAAGAATCCACCAATAAGCTAAATAATTCAATCAGACCTGCTCCAACGAGAGTCAAGAAATCACGTCCTCATGGGCGAAGACCAAGATGAAAACTGGATGGACCCCAGATAATGAGGGGGAGTGACAACAACTGATTGGGCAGGAGGACTGAAATAACCCATTGGTGGATTCTTCAGTCATCATGCTGGAGAAAATAAGGTTTTCTCTGTTTTTAAAAGGAAAAATGTTACTGTTATTCTTTTAGGTGAAAGTTATTTAAACATATATTTTGATATAATAGTGTTAAACGTATTTACACAGCAATTTGCAATTGGTTGTGGATGTAAATATACACAGTATTTATGGAAGTGGTATCTGTTGCCATGTTGTTTCACATCAGCCCTGAAGAAGGCAACGTCTATTGAAATAGTGCATATTTATATTATACATGGTATCTGATGAAAAATAGGTAACCATACATTTATACAAGCTATACTCCTGAACTGAGGGATGAATGCTACATGGGATTCCCCCCCCCCCCAATAAGTTAACTGCCTTGGATAAGTAGATTTAAGAGAGCTTCATGTAGGCTCAAGTGGATGTGCAGCTGATATGAAAAATATGAATTTGTCCTCAATGGGCTGCTTTTCAATTCTAAAATTCAGATTATAATAGCATGGTTTCCAGGGAGAAATGTGAGATATTTGAACCAATAGAAGAAAATATGTGTAATCAGGGTTGAATGGAGTCCTTCGTGTTTTCTGAATTTGGTTGTTTGCTTGCAGATGTTTTATTACCTGACTAGGTAATACCAAGGACTCCATATCTGAATCATATAGTAAATATGATATAGCTTAAGTAGAGTAGAATCAAATCAGGTGTCAATTCTAAAACAGTAATTCAAATTTGAAACACATGTACCATATAAACATCTAATTGACTAAAATAACTCTGAATTTTCAAATCCAGTCTATGATAGCTATAAAAACAGATAATCTTGTATAGCCTTGAAATATTAGCTGTTTTAAGTTTTTCAATATAAGGATTTTAAAATTTCAATGAACCACTTACTGTGAAATATGTGACCATTAAAACAGTATCTATGGAGAGCAAACTTGGAAAGAAGTGCCATATTCCAATAGTGCTGGCTTATGATGTACTGCCAAAGCAGGGGGAAAATGTATGTAAGGTAAAATATTCTGCTTTTTCTTACCATGGAGCATAGAATTCAACCAGAATTATGTCTGCTTCATTCACTGTTTCATCAAAGTTCTCTTTTGTTAAAACCAATGTAGCTTCAGGAGGAGGGACCCACTCAGGTTGTGAAATTTCTTTTACTTTAGCCACAATTTCTAAAAACACAATATGAAGAGACTCATTTTTATTTTTAATTAGCAAAAATTGTATCAGTTTAACAAGTGTAATTATCACAAAATTATCACAAAAAGACAACAATTTGGAAATATATCTTATTCCAGAATAGAAGAGTCTAGGTCACTTTAAGTAGGTCAGATTTTTACCTGATGAAATACTTCAACAAAGTTGAAACTGACAATAAAAAATCAAACTTTATCTATTTATGAAGCTTTATCTATTTATGCAATCAGTTTTGAATCAGGCAAAATGTGAGAGAACTGGCTTTCACCAAGCAGAAATCAAACCATAGTAAATATCATTTGGACATTTATAATTGATATTATCATCTTTGCAGCCATCTTTTTGAGACGGTTGGAAAACTGACTCATAGATCCTGCTCTAATATAAACAACACTGTAAGAAAGAATGTATGCAAATCCTTATCCTGAACCAATATCTCATTCTAGATTTTCAAAAGTACAATATAATTGAATGCAAAAAAATAAAGTACTCTTCCCAAGATTGCTTGTAAAATTAATCAATAAGTAATTAAAAATTATGTCTTTCATGATTCCCAGAAGCACAGAAAAAATGTTCAGGTTTCTTGTGCATCTTCTAGCACAGTGGTTCTCAACCTTTCTAATGCCGCGACCCCATAATACAGTTCCCCATGTTGTGGTGACCCCCAACCACTTATACATCACTGGTTGCCAGGGGCGTGGCCAAAGAAAAGGGGGAAAAAATGGGGGACAGCCTTGTTTGGCGACCCCCATGAAATGGTCGTTTGACCCCAAATGGGGTCCTGACCCACAGGTTGAGAACCACTGTTCTAGCAAATCTACCCCTATAACAAATAAAATAACACACTGCCTTCATTAGTCTTTTTTTTTTTATAAAGTTTTATTTTTTATTTTTGCCTTCATTAGTCTTTTAATCATCAAGGAAATTTTGTGCATTTGGAATAAATTGTACCTTGTGTCTAATATGTTACTACCTACCAGTTTCTGTTCTTGAACCATCATAATCCACTGGTTGTCCTTTCTTCAGAATTTTGATAGTTGGGTAACCACTAACATCAAATTGACTTGACAAAGTAGAGGCTGATGTAGCATCTATTTTGGCAACAGGAATAGGTGGATCATTTTCTTTTAATGTTTTGGCTATTTTTTCATATTCTGAAGCAAACTGCTTACAGTGCCCACACCTAAAGAAAATGAGAGAGTAAATGAGACAGGAGCTTGCTTGATCACATAGGAAAGAATGAGATGGCTGCTAGAAGTAAATAATTAGAAAAATAAGGATCATTGGTAGACTTCAATGTTGTGGGCCCAACACAAATGAAACTGTTCACCCAAATATGTTAGTTTTATGCATTTATTTATAATTTTTATACATTTTATACATTAGACTCAGACAATAAATATATAAAACCAAAATCTAACATGTTATCAATCTGACTTTTGGGGAATTTTTTTTTCATAGGACAGGAACCCCCAGTTAACTCACCTCTCCTAAGCTGGAATTCATAACAATTCAAAGAAGAATAGACTAGATGTACTGTTTCTATTTTAATAAAGCAGTTCTCTAAAAATTTCAGAATCAAGCCACTTTGGATTTTAAACACCAAAGTTCATCCTCTGATATGTACCCAGAGGCTTACTGACTCTCACCCATCCACATGTAGGCCAGGGTATTTTAAATAGCAACATAGGTATTCACTTAAGTACCATTTGTTTAATGACTAAAGTTATGCTGGTGCTGGAACTAGTCATTTGTGATCGGTTCTTACACTTTTTATTGCAGCATCCCTGGGGACAATTCAGGTACTTGGCAACTAGAATGTATTTTTGATTGTTGCAGCATTCTAGGGTCATAGTGATCATCATTAACCATCTCAGGTGGCTTCCAACAAGCAAAATCAATGGGGAAGCCAGATTTGCTTAATAAATATGTGATTCACTTAACAACTGGTGTGATTTTCTTAATCATAGCAAAACAAGGTCTTAAAATTGGGTGAAACTCATTTAACAACTATGTCACTTATCAAGGGAAGTTCCAATTGCAACGATAGTCTTAGGTGAAGGACTACCAATAAACCTGGAAAAGTTTCAAAGATGAAAATAAAGACGCAAAAGCATCATGCTTACCAGGGAGCATAAAACTCCAGAAGTACAGTATCTTTGCCTTCAACAAAACTGTCAAAGTTTGCATCATTCAACAGTAAAACACCATTTTCTTCTTCTATTTCTGAATTGTCTTCTTCATCATCATCAATTTCCTCACTGACAACAGAATCTAATTTAAAAGAATAAAAATTTCTCATATCTATAAGTTCTGCATTACAATGTACATGAAATGCACTGCTACAAACCTATTTCAGCAATACCCAGATGTTTAGAATGGAATGGACTAAAAGAGACTATGCAAACAAATATCCCACTATCTTTTTCTTAACCATGCTTCTCCTTCAAAACCTCAATTATATAGTGGTATTCTTTACAGCTTTTGAATCCCTAATGCTGAAGAAACTCAGTATTTCCCTACTATTGCCACCTTAAAACTTATTAAGGATTTGGAAAGCCTTAATTTCATCTAGCATCTGGCAAATTACGCATTTTTACATGATCTTGTAAGAAATAAGTGCAAAATATAAGTGTTTTGGAGGAAATTATGAAATCAATCACCATGCAACAAACTGCACATCAAAACTGTTGATCTAAAGTAGGGATCTGTCATTTTACATGTTTTAACCTATAACTTCCACAAATAATATTAATAGTTGGGACTTCTTCAGAAACTATAGATCAACACATTAGGAAGGCAAAATTATTGATGAAATACTATATTAACAAATATGTCTTCAGATAATGCCATCTGAACAAATTTTCCAAAGATTCTTAAATTCAAGGTTGTAAAACAAAGTATTCAGCCATTCTGGAAGAATTACGAGATCAACAGAGTTTAAACTAATTTTAAATCCTTCCAAAATAATTCAAACAGCCCATTTCAGGCTTAAAACCATTTCTTCAAAATTCAAAATCATATGCCACATTTCTAAAACCAATTTATCATTAATATGTGAAAGGAAAAAACTCCAGTCTACAGTAGCCATAAGCTATCTTGACAGATACTTACACAGCAGCATGTTTTTCAGAAGTTTTTAAATGATACTTCATAAATTACAATAAAAAGATTCATTCTGCCTCCTTCAACAGGTGAAATTAAACATAGTTGAAATGAATTAGGGGAAAAAGAAATGTTTACTACTTTAAATCAATACAAATTCTATCTCTGATTACAATTTGCCTGTGTAGAGTAAACTAATTATAGAGTTAGGCAGATTTAATTACATATGGTTAAATAAACATAATTTAAAGAAAACAAACATACTATCCCAAAAGATCTAATTTGTATGCCACAATAAATAATTGGCACATTCTAGCATAAACATGCTTATTGTGCAGCAGAAAACTTTGTTTTCATAGCCTACAAGAACTGAGGCAGTTAGGCATGCAGATGTGCATTCTGTCCTTGTTTCCTTTTTCTACATTCATACAAACACAGGAGAATCATCACTTAGTAATGACTATCTGGCATCCTTTATAACTGCTTTTCCTGCTTGTGGATATCAGTGACTGAACTTGAGATCTTTTCATGAAAAAAAATAAGTTTTCATGTGCAAATTCTAAAAAGTTAGGAGGCAAGAAAAGGATGAAATATTGCATTAGCTATGTGTACTTTAACAAGATGATTCCAAAATTCTTAAGTCACTTTAAAAATTCAACATTGGTCCTGACAATAGTTTAATTCTTCCTATATCCCAACAATATGATCAGTTTTGCCCTTCTGTTGCCCAATATTAAGGGAAACACTCCTCTTGAACATGGACATTCCATTTACTTATAATTGGTAAAACAAATGATGTGCCTTCTCCCCAGTTTTGAAAGCAGGATTTTCCAAATTTATAGTAGAGCTTACCCTGGTCATTTATACTAATGTATGATCCTTTTTTTTGCCAATTGTGCCCAATATAGGCATCTAAAAGCAGCATGAAAACTAAACAAATATACGTGGAGAAGCAAAATATGTCGGCGACTTCAACAAACACATGGATGTTAAATACCATCAACTCGAGAAGCCCGCCTGGCATTCGGGTCTCTTCCACACCTCTTTGTCTCTTCTGCTTTATGATCTCTCGTTTGTCCACTAGCACTTACCCAATCCAAAAGGCCTTTCGCTTGTACTGAAGGAGAAAGAGTTACCTGCAGATTTTTCTTACTTCCAGGAAGATGGAATAAGTCAACCAAATGATTCTCAGCCTAAAGAAAGGGTTTTTTTTCTCGACATAAACTCTTACCTCCCTGTTCCTCCTCCTCTTGGCATCTGGCTAATACAGCAAGCTGCGTCAGTACTAGGATAAGCGTTAGCAGGCACACTCTTCTGATGTTCATTGCAGCACCAGTCCTCTTTCGCGTCCAATTCTTCTCGGCAACACGCCTCCTCCACGCTCTTCCCTTAAGAAAAGAAAGCCTCTTCTTCCCAGAAGGCGAATTTACAGGAAGCGGTGCGTCCTGATTGGCTAGCAAAGCAGTGAGACTCCTCAATAGTCAACCAATCCAAGAGCGACGTATGATGAAAGGAATGAAAGTTGTGTTCCCTTTCAGCGGGAGGGGGGAGAGGACCAATTTCAGAAAGTGGAACGTCCCCGCGCCTGCATTCCCTACGGCGAATCTTGTCTTTTTGCAAGAAGAAGGTGTGGTGGTACACACAAAAGAAAGCCCAGTGAAGTGTGTCACTGTATGTGCGGCTTTTTTTAAAACTACAAAACCCCTCTGAGGTGCCCCTCACGGATTGGCTATCCTGGAAACTACCAATCACGACTTACCACTTGTTTGGAAAGGCAAACAAATTTTGGGGTGGAGCAAAAGAAAAGCGGATAAAGAAAATGAGGGCTGGGAGGTACGGGATTCGGTTAGTCCGACGGGGTGAAGACACTTCTCACTGCTGGATTGGTCTGACTGTGAGGAACAGGAATAGTCAGAGGGCGGGTGAGCCGTAGCCGCTTAGAATGGCCCACGTCAGTGTTAAGCAATGGGTTGGCTTTAGTTAAATACTTTTTTACTAGGCTTTGAAGTAGCCTTGTTAAGAAGAACATACGCGTTAATGTTATTAGCAGAATAAAATCGTGTAACTACTATTATTTCACAGGCTTATTGCAAAATTTTGGATGGAAAGAATAAAATGTTCAGGATTGAGGCTTTTCTCTTTTAACAAATGCAGATCTCAAGGAAATGCAGAGAAATTGGGTTTGGATAATTATTTTGATAGCGTATCAAAAGTTAAATAGCTGTCATGTAGGAACATTATCCCCTTTATGGATTACTGCCTTGTCCTGGCGAAGGGGCTTGCGTAACTCAATGAAGCTATAAGCTATGCCGTGCAGGGCCACCCAAGATGGACAGGTTATAGCAGAGAGTTCTGACAAAATGTGATCCACTGGAGAAGGAAATGGCAAACCACTCCAGTATCTTTGCCATGAAAACCCCATGGACAGTACTAAAAGGCAAAAAGATATGACGCTGGAAGATGAGCCCCTCAGGTCAGAAGGTGTCCAATATGCTACTGGGGAAGAGCAGAGGGCTAGTACTAGTAGCACCAGAAAGAATGAAGCGACTGGGCCAAAGCCGAAAGGACGCTCAGCTGTGGATATATCTGGTGGTGAAAGGAAAGTCCGATGCTGTAAAGATTTTTTCTCCATAGGAACCTGGAATGTAAGATCCATGAATCAAGGCAAGCTAGACGTAGTCAAACAAGAGATGACAAGACTGAACATCGACATCTTAGGAATCAGCGAACTAAAATGGACAGGAATGGGTGAATTTAACTCAGATGACCATCAGGTATACTACTGTGGGCAAGAATCCCTCAGAAGAAATGGAGTAGCCTTCATAGTCAATAAAAGAATAGGAAAAGCAATACTGGGATACAATCCCCAAAATGACAGAATGATCTCAATTCGAATCCAAGGCAAACCATTCAATATCACAATAGTCCAAATCTATGCCCCAACCACTGGTGCTGAAGAGGATGAAATTGACCGGTTCTATGAAGCCCTACAGCACCTTATAGAATTAACACCAAAAAATGATGTCCTTATCATCATGGGGGATTGGAATGCTAAGGTAGGAAGCCAAAAGATAACCGGAATAACAGGCAAGTTTGGCCTTGGAGTACAAAATGAAGCAGGGCACAGGCTAATAGAATTTTGTCAAGAGAATACGATGGTCATAACAAACACTCTTTTCCAACAACCCAAGAGACGGCTCTACACATGGACATCACCAGACGGTCAACATAGAAATCAGATTGACTATGTGCTCTGCAGCCAAAGATGGAGAAGCTCTATACAGTCAGTAAAAACAAGACCAGGAGCTGACTGTGGCTCAGATCATGAGCTTCTCGTTGCAAAATTTAGGCTTAAATTGAAAAAAGTAGGGAAAAGCACTAGGCCACTCAGGTATGAACTAAATCATATTCCTGATGAATATACAGTAGAGGTGACAAATAGATTTAAGGAATTAGATCTGATAGACAGAGTGCCTGAAGAACTATGGATGGAAGTTCGCAACATTGTACAAGAGGTAGCAACTAAAACCATCCCAAAGAAAAAGAAATGCAAGAAAGCAAAATGGCTGTCTGAGGAAGCTTTGCAAATAGCTGAGGAAAGAAGGGAAGCGAAAGGCAAAGGAGAAAGAGAAAGATACACCCAATTGAATGCAGAATTCCAGAGAGTAGCTAGAAGAGATAAGAATGCCTTCTTAAATGAACAGTGCAAAGAAATAGAAGAAAACAACAGAATAGGGAGGACCAGAGATCTCTTCAAGAAAATTGGAGATATGAAGGGAACGTTTCATGCAAAGATGATAGGCATGATAAAGGACCAAAATGGCAGAGACCTAACAGAGGCAGAAGAGATTAAGAAGAGATGGCAAAACTACACAGAAGAACTATACAAGAATGAGCTTAACATCCCAGATAACCACAATGAGATGGTCACTGACCTCGAACCAGACATCCTAGAATGTGAAGTGAAATGGGCCTTAGAAAATCTGAGCAACAACAAAGCTAGTGGAGGTGACAGTATTCCAGCTGAGCTATTCAAAATCTTAAAAGACGATGCAGTAAAAGTGCTACACTCAATTTGCCAGCAAATTTGGAAAACTCAACAGTGGCCACAGGATTGGAAAAGGTCAGTTTACATTCCAATTCCAAAGAAAGGCAATGCCAAAGAATGTTCAAACTATCGCACCATTGCACTCATTTCACATGCTAGTAAAGTTATGCTTAAAATCCTACAAGCTAGACTCCAGCAGTATGTGGATCGAGAACTACCAGAAGTACAGGCAGGATTTCGAAGAGGCAGAGGAACTAGAGATCAAATTGCCAACATACGCTGGATCATGGAGAAAGCTAGGGAATTCCAGAAAAACATCTACTTCTGCTTCATTGACTATGCAAAAGCCTTGATTGTGTGGATCACAACAAACTGTGGCAAGTTCTTAAAGAGATGGGAGTACCAGACCATCTCATTTGTCTCTTGAGAAACCTATATGCGGGTCAAGAAGCAACAGTGAGAACTGGACACGGAACCACTGATTGGTTCAAAATTGGAAAAGGAGTCCGGCAAGGCTGTATACTGTCGCCCTGCCTATTTAACTTGTATGCAGAGCACATCATGAGAAAGGCAGAGCTAGATGAATCAAAAGTTGGAATTAAGATTGCCGGGAGAAATATCAACAACCTAAGATATGCAGATGATACCACTCTAATGGCAGAAAGTGAAGAGGAACTAAAGAGCCTCTTGATGCGGGTGAAGAAGGAGAGTGCAAAAGTTGGCTTGAAACTCAACATTAAGAAAACCAAAATCATGGCATCCGGCCCTCTCAATTCCTGGCAAATAGATGGGGAAGAAATGGAGGTAGTGACAGATTTTATTTTTCTGGGCTCCAAGATCACCTCAGATGGGGACTGCAGCCAAGAAATTAAAAGACGCTTGCTCCTGGGGAGGAAAGCTATGGCAAATCTAACAGCATTCTAAAAAGCAGAGACATCACCCTGCCAACAAAAGTGCGTATAGTCCAGGCCATGGTTTTCCCAGTTGCAATGTATGGCTGTGAAAGTTGGACCATAAGAAAGGCTGAGCGCCAAAGAATTGAGGCCTTTGAACTATGGTGCTGGAGAAGACTCCTGCGAGTCCCTTGGACTGCAAGGTGTTCAAACCGGTCAGTCCTAGAAGAGATCAATCCTGACTGCTCTTTAGAAGGCCAGATCCTGAAGTTGAAACTCAAATACTTTGGCCACCTAATGAGAAGGAAGGACTCACTGGAAAAGGGCCTAATGCTGGGAAAGATTGAGGGCAATAGAAGAAGGGGACAACAGAGAATGAGATGGCTGGATGGAGTCACTGAAGCAGTAGGTGTGAACTTAAATGGTCTCCAGAAGATGGTAGAGGACAGGAAGACCTGGAGGAACGTTGTCCATGGGGTCGCGATGGGTCGGACACGACTTCGCAATTAACAACAACAGGAACATTATATTCTTGGGCAACAGTGTTAATGAAAACAAAGCTTTTTCTCTGTAATACAGTAGCTAGTAAAACTAACTCCCCAAAATTGATGTTCATTTTGTGGGAAGTCAGCCCCCAGAGAAAGAAATATTAAAAGGGTAGAAAAATATATTTTTTTCCTCAAAAGGATTTTTAAAAGCAGAAACAAAACCTGGCCCCAAATCTCTCTGCCCCCAAGCAGTAGCCAGCCCTATACAAATGCAAATGTAAAACCATCAGAAAGTTGGAGCCAGAGAACTCAAGAAGACAAAGAGACTTAAAATCTGCATACCCCACCCAAACTCTAGGAGTCATTAGCCCTATCACCAGGGAAGCAGGATATGACTTTTGGGACATAATAGGATTAACCCATTACCATCAAGTATACCAGAGAGGCACACCTAAACTTAGGTCAGAATACATGACACAGGAAACTATTCCAAACAAAAGGCTTTCAGAGGGTATAAAAGCCTACTGCCCATGTGCTCAGCCTTTTTCACCTCTGGTCTTTCCTGCAAGAACCATCTTTCTGCCTCTTCAATAAACTGTAACCTTCTTCCCAAAGCAGTCACCATATTGCTTATTTATTCCCGGCTTGGATGAACCAGGATGAAGACTTACTTCCAACAATTATTTTAAACTTTTGTGAAAAAACTTTTTAAAAACAATGCAACACTATAATGAAAAGAAAACATTAGAATATAGACTGGTTGTCAGTATCCATTTATATTTCATTTCTACCTATCTCTTTTGATCTAAAACCAAATCTCACCTTCCCCTGGATTCTGCCATACTTCCAAGGGGGAGGGGGGATATGCCTGCGGGGTTATGACTTTCACTTCCTCTGTTCGCTACAATATAACCTTTTGTTTATTGCCCCTGGGTGTGCTACCCATTGCAATCAAACAAATTGCCTCCTGCACTATGTATCTCTCTGAACTTGTTTCTCCCTAACCTGGCAGTTAGGAAAGGGGAGGGGGGAAGAAATACAAACATCCAGAACCTGGCTTATTTCTCTGGTCAAAAAAGGAGGTGTGAAGAGCTGTGGAACATCATACTATAAATGGAGCTGGACCAATGTTATCTTCCCTTTCCCATGATGGATTTAACACCTGGGGATTGGCTGGTCTGAACGGTCGGGATGAGCTGTGGGATAGGGTTTGCTTAGGGACCCTTTAAAGTATCTGTT